TTAATTTATTAGAGGCCACGCCCAAACTTCCTCGTCAAAAGGAGCGATGAACGTGCTGAAATGTTGTCTATAGAATTCTAAAGTTTTTCACAGAAAAAAAAGGTTTGCGTCATTGTGGTCATCTGTCAAATACGTAACTGAGACATAGCAGTTTATTCAAGTTTTCGAGTTGCTTCACATTTTAGTCATTTGTTGTGCATTCTTGTCATTACTTTGCTGCCTCCTTGCCGCCTAAATATAGTTGAAAATCAGAGTGGTCTTAAAGTTGATTTTAAAATGAAAGAAGAAAAAAGGCGCAATACAACACCTAGCTAATTTTGATAATTATAAGAAATACCTATCTATCAACTTATATATATATATTGATTCAAGTAGGAATTTGTTTTGAAAGTTAATTTCGAATCTAACGTAAAGGCAAACTTTTGCTTGAAAATAATGCGATATCTATCACACTTATCGGTAGACTATTTTGAAATTGATATAGTGATAGCTAGAGAAACTATAGGCGTGATCAATCTTCATGAATAAGAATGACAGAGTATAGCTGAAGTCTGCTTATATAGATAGCTGTGGTTCTATGTTTGTCAAAGAAGAATGTAAAAACATCTAACATTAATCTTTTAAAAACTTTGTGGAAATTTATACATCTTATATCTTTCAACAGATCCGAAATGATAAGTATTCTAAGCATCTTCGAGTATTTTCACTCCTTCTAAATATATTTTTCTTATTTACGTGGTGTTTCTTTGGTCAACATTATATGCTATGGTCGCTACGTGTTAGATATAAGACAATAAAAGGGTGTGTTTCTTTGGTCAACATTATATGCTATGATCGCTACGTGTTAGATATAAGACAATAAAAGGGTGTGTTTCGTTGGTCAACATTATATGCTATGGTCGCTACGTGTTGGATATAAGACAATAAAAGGGTGTGTTTGTTTGTTTGTAATTATGCACAAAGCTACACAAAGGGTTATCTGTGCTCTGCCCACCACGTGTATCGAAACCCGGTTTCTAGTATTGTAAGTCCGCAGACATACCGCTGTGCCACTGGGGGGCAAGAGGGTGGGTAATGTACTATATCGATTTCATACGAAATGTAGAATTTTAAGATCCATCTTTGAATGGTTCGATCTTCTTTCAAGTTAAACATTTCTCTTATTTAAATTGTTGAGAACCTCGTGTTTTTATCAAGAAAACAGAATAACTAAAGTATTGCAGAAAATGATAAATTAATTGAACAAAATAATTCAGTGCCGATCACATATATTGTTGTTAATGAAAATTACACATAAACGTTTTTACACATTTTGTCAGGCACAAAACAAAACAATGTTGATTATGCTCTTCATGGGCTGTCATAAGGAAAATAGACGCGTCAAATACAAAACACGACTCCCCCCCCCCCCCAGACACACACACACACCAAGCAAAACCAAAACAGAAACGATATAAAAAGGACTTCCATATAGCCTAAAAACAAACCTTGACCCTCGCCACCTACAGGCAACTAGGTCCTATTAGTGAATGATTTATTATCATGTAATTAATTGTTAACTATTATCATATAGACAGACATTGTGATAGAACAGATTTCTGTCATTCAGTTAAACTAACCATCTTAGAGGAAGTTATTCACATGAGATATATTATTATAATACAACAGTCCCGATACTTGTGACTCAAAGAGCTGAAAATCATAATGATAGAATATTAAGCATACGGTTCAACAGTCCCGATACTTGTGACTCAAAGAGCTGAAAATCATAATGATAGAATATTAAGCATACGGTTCAACAGTCCCGATACTTGTGACTCAAAGAGCTGAAAATCAGAATGATAGAATATTAAGCATACGGTTCAACAGTCCTGATACTTGTGACTCAAAAAGCTGAAAATCATAATGATAGAATATTAAGCATACAGTTCAACAGTCCCGATACTTGTGACTCAAAGAACTAGCCACGAAAACAGTTATATATCTTATTAAATATGGATTCTAGTACCTCGAACATAAGAAATGTATAATGTATATGATATTTTAAGAGTCATTTTGTTACTACGACAACGAAGATTTATGATACACCAGCCCTCATTGAATTCATAAGCAAATTTCTGACACACTACCTAACTGTAAATGTTACTTATAAATAATTAACTATGTATGTATATATATATATACTTGGAATTATCCCGTTGTGATACAGGGTTCTAGAACAGTTAATAATTATATTAAATATTTTTCTGGGTTTGCATGGTAGGTTTTCATGTACATCATGGTTTTGACTAATATATAAAAATAAGCAAAAATTTAATTTTCTGTGTTAAAGTTATTGCTTTAAACAAACTTAATGATAAGAGTACATATCAAGTAACAACATCTTATGTGTTTCTTTAAGCGAACAATCTTTAATATTTTTCTCATTAAACGATCTCCATATTAACAATACATTTAAACAATAGTTTCTAATATTAAACGATCTTTATGTTAAAATACATATCAAATAATATTCTCTAATAAGTTGGTGTTAAACGTGGTTAATATTAATAACACATAGGAAACAATAGCTGTTTTGTTTTTTAATTTTTGCGTTAAAAAACGTCGACACATATTAAACAACAATTCTTAAGATGTTACTGCCAATATAAAGCTTCAAAGAAACCTTTAACTTGGTTATACTAAAAAACACGGATAAAAAGTAATGACGCTACAAGAAACCTGATATTCTGGTCTCTTTAAGAACAAAAGCAATCCTTTTTCACGGACGGATTCACTCTCTGAAGATGAAAAGTCTACCTTCCCAAAACGCTCGGGTTATCGAATTTTTATCTTGTAAACACATTCTTAAGGTGTTAAAAACCAATAATGCATATCAAACAATGACACCCAAAATATTTATATTTAACACACTTAGTAGCAATAGGTATCTAACAACATTGCTTAGGGTCTCTATATTTAACAAACTCAATATCAAAAACTGTTTTGATGATTTTGGAAAATAGCATTAGATATATTTCATAAATAACATCAAATATGGAAAGTTACTATACAGTCGCAGCTATGCGTACTTTACACGGGGATCTGCTCTGTAAATGTTAAAGATATTGAGATGCATTAACAGCCGCCATTGCATTTGTTACTAATTCAAGGGACTGACATTATATATACGTTGCTCAGTAACTAAATAAATAATGCATCCTATGAGACGTATTTTTCTCCAGCTTTGTTCCATAGTAATCTAACATAGGGAAAATGTTCATGGGCATTGCCAGGTGGAGAATAGAGAACGGGGAAATGGACTGAATAAATCCATTATACTAACGAATTCCTTCTGTATTGTATCCATTGTTTGTAATCCGCCAAGAACTTAGCTGTTTTAGTTCGCCTGTAACATATTCGTTAAGAAAAACCTTTTTAAATATCTCTAAGGCAGTGTAATCATTAATCTCGTTTATAAAACTGTCCTGATATTATAAATAGAATTATTCCAGCTTGACTTTAAAAAAATACAGGTGTTAACTAACTTAGAAGTAAAAAGAAACTGCGTGTTTATGCTAGAAAATAATGACATGTTTCACCGATAAGAGCTTGATTCTAAATGAGTTCGACATTCGACATTCGAAACTTAATATATTAACGAATTCTTTGATCTTTTCTTTCACAAAGTCATGAACTTGTTTTGTGAAAAGTAAAAATGATGTAAATTTTGTATTTCATAAGAATATTCTTCACTTTAAAATATAATTTCCAACCATACAAAGTACAATTCATTATAATTTGAGTCACATGCTTTTAATCTTTCCAGCTGTTCAGTCTCAAATAAGAGCGGTTGCTACACAGTACTGTACTCATTCTTTTTTTACTTTTCGTCAATTTCAGATTAATATATGAGTGTGTGCGCGTGCGTGTGTGTGTGTGAAGAGTACGTAAGCACATGCCTCACAGACTAAAAAAGGTTTAACAAGTTTTGCTGCTGAAAATCAAACGTTATCAACACAGAAGAGATTTGGATGTTGGCTGAATCTTGGACCACTCTCTTCGTTTATGTTTTGGACAATCCTGTATACACTAGTACACCAGGAAACAATCGATGTGAATCCGCTCAGATGTTTAATAACGTAGTTCCATCTACGTTCGTGCAATATCACTCATAACAGAACTCTTTGTACTCAGTATTGGCTTTTGTATTGCTATACGATTTCTATCACAACTAAGGCTCGTGGTCTCGAACAAAGACTCGAAAAACTATTGATAGGCAATACCAAACTTTCGTTCTTCTTCCGTAATGGTCAAAAGACTGAGAAAAAGAAAACTTTTCGTTGTTAAACAACCCAGCGATTCTGACTGAGTTCGTCGACAAAACTGTATAGGAGTTGTGAAACTAAAATTATGGAATAAATAATACAGGGATTTAGGGTGAATTATTACACTACTGTGTCTCTCTGATCCATTCGCTCTTTTTATATCTAATTCTGAAATCATGCAAGAGTTTTCCAAAATTCGCAAACACTATACACGTTACATTATTTCACAGGATTATTAAAATAACAATATTTGTAGCCATAGTGATAAGTTTCAGTTTTTGCATTTCAAATTTCTTATTTTAATTTCAGGACTTTTTTTTTAAATGGAAAATTTAGAACTGCAGGGATGCCAATGATCAATATAGATACTAAACCAGATGATTTAGTTGTACATTCCTATGAAAGTTTAGGATGTAACGTATTTTTGGAGATAACCTACACCTGGTTTTCTTAAGTCAAATGTTAATCCATCTGCTTTAACGAGTTGCACCACGTGTTCACCATACTCGTGTCCTGCTAAAACGTTGGATTCATTATTTTATTTTTATTAGGAATATTTCCATCTGCATTGTAATCCAGAACGCTAAGCTAAAAAGTGTAGAATAAATTCATCTTGTGGTTTTAAATTTATATATATATATCAGTACATATGAAAAGTACCTACGTTTTTATTTCGATTGCACAATTTTTCAGACGAGTACATATCACCATGGCAACGTTGCACCAGCTGGACAATCAATTTGAAGTCGAACCACGTCAAGGTCTTCTCAATGACCAATTTCGTCTTGACCACCAAGTGGAAACATTTCTTATAATTCCTCCGAAGGTAATCGTCGTTGACGTTCTATTTATTATAATAATCAGTTTAGCTGAAAATCATCCCCAAAAGTACTGAACACTTGCATTAATAAGCACCAGGCGTCGTAACTGACCTTTTTATTTATAGATAAGTTAAAATTATTGCTTTTATACGAGAATAATTTTCTTTAAAAAAATGGATTATTTGAAATTACTTATAATAAATTCAATTTAATAAATATTTTTTTTTGCAAACCAACACATGTATAATATTGTTTAGGGGTTTATAATATTTTCTCGCCACTTTCTACACAAATTAAAATTGATATTTAGGAAAATCATTTTCCTTTGCACGTAACACTTTCGTTAAAACAGTTATTTTCCATTTATGATTTTGAACGTCCAATGTTATGCACCATAAAGTCCGTTTTTCATAGGAAGAAATAGAGGAGACACGGTTGAAGAAAAAAGGATCTGATACTTCCACTAGGTGTCGCACTTCTTCCAAGATGAGCAAATATGTAGAATGTTGGGGAGCGGATAAGCCATTTGCAAATATCTCGGAGACGACCCTTGCTAAAAATATTGGCTTAACGGTATGTATAGAGTGTTAAGTACACCTTATAACTTATTTTTGTCTTAGTTACTCTTTCATAAGAACGAGGCGAAAATTCGAGTAGTCGTTTTATTGTTTTATTGATTTCTACTTAGTTAGTTCCACAATGGGCATATATTGTGTTGAACAACCGCTACAAAACCGAACTCAAAAGACAACGAAGAAGCTTAAAGGGAGTCCTAGAAGACATTCATAGTCTATAGTTTTGAATATAAAACAAATTACTCAGAGCATACTTTCTCAGAGAAGTGGAAATGGTAATAAAGTAGGAGTTAATAGTTCAAAATACACCACTTGGCTTTGATCTTCCGTAAATTAAAAAAAACATCTTCTTGTCAAAACAAAAAGCTTTATTGAATGCAACTCTAACCTTTTTATAGTCTTTATAACGTCCAAACCCAACTATATAAAACTTTCTAGCTATAATAGCTCAGAACTGTTAGGATTTTCATGACGTACCTATACTGAACTAACTCCTAGCTAATCACGCGTCTACATATTTTTTTTTCAGTGCTTGTTTCTCGACTTGTTTTCCCTTTCAAAACTGATTTCTTTACACATTTGGAGTCGTGTAACAAACCTGACTGATTGGAATAAATTGTTCTTCTGATTTATTGTAATTGATCATGAGAAATAAAAAAAACGGTTTTTATTGACTGAAAGATTTAGTTTTACATAACAACTTCAGTTTGAAACAGGTATTTTAAACAATGGTAAGGAAATAAAGTAAAAAAAGTTTCCCATCAGTGAAACATGCTTTTATGATTACAAAGTAATAAATGATATTAAAAACATAGAAAAACCTTTATTGTTAAATATGCGTTCAGATATGTATTTAAATGTGTATGATTTACATTAATTCTTTTCATTGAAATAATCTCTGCCGATGGAACAACAATCTCGATGGATGCAGAAGTATCCCAAACATTAATAAGTGTCTACAGTATCTCTAGCCTTGTTTCCTTACTCTCTCTCTTTTTTTTTTACGATCTCTATTTGCAGGTTTTTAAATTCGCAAATTTTTATTTATCATGTTTGCTGGTCTTTTTTATGCTCAACTATGGATTACTTGATATGGTAGCTAACTTTGTACATTGTATTGATAATAAACATAACTAGTAGCTAGCTGATACCGTACATGATGATTTACTGTAGCTATTGACTATTTGATCGCATTAGTTTGATATGTAAAATGTTTGTTTGACAGTAGTGTGAGCATTTATAGTTTCTGTGTAACTAAATTCTCTATATATAATGCATAGCAATGGGCAAATATATGTCTAGACTAAGACACAACTCCCACTAAGCGTGTATAAAATTTTACCAGTAGAAAAGTAGTCTTTTCATATAAAACATACGACTAAAGCATCACTTTAAATAAACCTTTGTGTCTTATAAAGTAATTATTCTACGAATGTGTGTAATAAAATTTAATATTATGTGTATTGATTTTTTTCCTACTTCACTTCATACATAATATAGGGGGTTGGCTCCCTAAAGACAGCGATTGTATTGTAAACAAAGCATTTAGTATCTACGTGTTACAGCCGTCTAACGTTCATCTATTATTGGCTGGTAATTCCCTGTACTTAAGCTTTTTAAAGGAACACCAGATATCTGTAAGAAACCTAGCTTCAGGGGATAATGATAACATCGTTTACGCTAGAATTATTATGTTTTTTAACTTATGTAAAATACAGAAGAAACAAATCAACTTTTCAATACCCTTATGACCTTCGCAGTACCTTATTTAGTATTCTATAAAAGGATTGGGTGCAATATACCAAACTGTTTTTGCTGTAGGCTGGCAAGAGAATAATAATAGTAAGAAGAACAATTACAAACGGACCGTTTTAAGCGGAATCTTGTTTCCTTATAAGTCTAACATGCCTATTTTTGTACATTTTTATATGTGTAAAACCTTAACAGTTAATTGTAATGGTTTTAAAGTGTTGTTTGAAGTGAATCTTTACTGTTTAAGGTGCTTTTTGCCCAAACGTTCTATTAGGATTTTTGTGCAATTCCTTGCGATCCCTATCATGAGCCACAGACATTCCTCACGAATCACGTGATCGTGTATTTAGACTTTTTTTTATGAATATAGTCTCTTCTAGGTATATAATATTCCTCGGGAATCACGTGATCGTGTATTTAGACTCTTTGTTGTGGATATAATCTCATCCTAGGTACAGAATATTCATCGGGAATCACGTGATCGTGTATTTAGACTCTTTGTTATGGATATAGTCTTACCTAAGTATAGAATATTCCTCGGGAATCACGTGATCGTGTATTTAGACTCTTTGTTACAGATATAGTTTCTCCTAGGTGTAGAATATTCTTCGGGAATCACGTGATCGTAAATTTAGACTCTTTCTCATTGATCTTATAGTTTCCTCTAGATATAAGACATTCCTCACGAACCGCAGAGTTTTGTCCATTTACTACTTCACATTAACTGCATAACGCTTTTACTCACAGATCAAAGTTAGACATTTGAACAAAATTTGCTGCCCTCTGTCATCATGCTTGTTAGTTCTTCTTCTCATTAACATCTTCTTTTTTTTATCTCCACATGCACTTTGACTTTTAGAATTCGGGTTAAGACACAAGAAAACTCGAATGAAAATAAAGAGAAGAATGAAAACGAGCAGATTGTTTCAAATAAACTACGAACTATATTAATTATTCTATATTTGTTTAAACTAAGGTTTTTATGGGAGTTCCAAGCAATGCAATTGGCTGGGTTTAAGAATTTAAACACGACAAAGCTTTGTTTGTTTTAGCGCAAAGCTACACAATAGTCTATCTGCGCACTGGCAACCAAAGGGAATCAAGCCCCGTATTTTAGCGTTTTAAGACCGTAAACTTACCGATGGTCCACTGGGGTACCGCCCCAAGGCAATGAGCTAATAAACCAACTCAACGCTGTTCTTGAGCAGTTTTGATGGATGGGGTATGACAAGTTTATTTTCCACTACAGAGCGGGTTTTTAGGCAATGAGCTAATAAACCAACTCAACGCTGTTCTTCAGCAGTTTTGATGGATGGGGTATGACAAGTTTATTTTCCACTACAGAGCGGGTTTTTATATTTTCCAAGTCCAATGTCATAAGATATCGGTCTTCCGGTGGGTCAGCGGTAATCTTATGGACTTACAACGCTAAAATCCTAGGTTCAATTACCCGCGGTGGACACGGCAGATAGCATAATGTAGCTTTGCTCTAAAAACAAATTAACGTAAGATACTGAAAAACTATCCAGTGAAAATATTTACTTTTTAGCTGCTTTTCGTTTCGCTTCCTGTTCTATGTTTGTTTTGCCTTTCCAGTTTTTGTTTTGTTCTGGAACAGTAGGTTTTTTTTAAATAATTTTAATTTCAAAAAAATGTCGTCAGTTTAGCAGTGACGTGTTTACAACGTACGTATTTCAACACTTGTTGGGATTTCAGAATTTTACGTGCTACAAGATAGTTTTTAGAAGTGAAAAGATTCAACTACGTTTATAGTCATATTTTAAACACCACCTAAATCGTTAAAAAGCTGTTTGTTCTTGTTTTTTTTTTAGTTCTGTTACACCCACTTTAGCCTTTACGACAAAAGAAATTAGGGTGGGTGTTGTTTGAAGATGGATACCAAACAAAAAATATACCATTTGTGTATTTTAGAACTCGAATAAATTATCCCACCGTTTGAAACATCTTGATTATTTTATTATATATTTCTTATGTTTGTTTGATATTAAGTACGTAGCTAAACAATGGGTTATCTGTGCTCTGCCCACCATGGATATCGAAACCAGAATTTTGATATAAATATAAAAATAAAATGAGAAAAATCTTATATGCAATTTCAATTCTAAAAAAAAATTATCCCAGAAATAAGTAGGAATACCATTTTACAGTAAACATCCAGAAATAAGTAGGAATACCATTTTGCAGTAAACATCCAGAAATAAGTAGGAATACCATTTTGCATAAACCTCCAGAAATAAGTAGGAATACCATTTTGCAGTAAACCTCCAGAAATAAGTAGGAATACCATTTTGCAGTAAACATCCAGAAATAAGTAGGAATACCATTTTGCAGTAAACCTCCAGAAATAAGTAGGAATACCATTTTGCAATAAACCTCCAGAAATAAGTAGGAATACCATTTTGCAGTAAACATCCAGAAATAAGTAGGAATACCATTTTGCAGTAAACATCCAGAAATAAGTAGGAATACTATTTTGCAGTAAACATCCAGAAATAAGTAGAAATACCATTTTGCAGTAAACATCCAGAAATAAGTAGGAATACCATTTTGCAGTAAACATCCAGAAATAAGTAGGAATACCATTTTGAAATAAACATCCAGAAATAAGTAGGAATACCATTTTGCAGTAAACATCCAGAAATAAGTAGGAATACCATTTTGCAGTAAACATTTTTATTTTATAATTTATGCGAGTAATACAGTTGCTGTCGTTTTCTTCTAACCTAATGATATAGTCTCTCCTAGGTGTAGAATATTCCTCGGGAATCACGTGATCGTAAATGTATCGATTATTGCAGTCACTGGAAATTGGCAATTTTTTTAAAACCTTCTTGACGGTTCCTCATTTAAACCAATGATATCACTGGAAAAACTTTAGTAAGTGCTTGAACAGCTGGTAATCACGCTTTTTTTTATATATAGAACACTAAAGCAGTGACCCCTAGGGAGCAACAGTCAAATAGAACATCCACGCCAGTGACAACTTGATATATAGTTTGATGAAACACATTTCGAAGAACATGAAAGTCCCTTTAAGATACCAAAGAAGTAAAAACTAAAAAGTTACTGACATAGTTGAATGTTGGCGATTAGATAAAACAAATAAAAATAAACTGAAGCAAAGTTTGCTTCGGAATACCATGTGTAATGCTACTTCTGTACTTTCACTTTGGAAAGGAGAATTTTAATTTAGGAAATTTCCTGGAATAATAAAATACTTTTGATGCTTTTAACACTTTCAATAAAATAAAATATTTTTTCGTAACATAAGTTTCTCGATTTAATAGTTTTACAGTGGCATAAGTCAAAATTTTAAAAGTGATTATTATCTAACTCGGATGTTGTTTCTTTTCAGCTCCTTGAAAGGGTTCTTTTTTAAAGAAAATATTTTATTTGGCATTGATCAAATAAAATGTATTAATTGTCTAGCCCGTGATGATGATCTTAACTGGGATTTCGTTTGCTTTATCTTAATCAAATAAATCTCAATAAATGAAGCAGATAGACAGAGGCAAACAAACGTGAACTACTTTACACATAAAGATAAGCATACGAGGATGTATATTATATGAATATATAATTATGTATAAATAGTTTTCAAGCGAGACCCAAAACTCGAGCACTTCTGAATAGTTCACTATTCTTCTTCAGAAGAATAAAGAAGAATAGTGAACTATTCGAAAGCGCTCGAGTTTTGGTTCTCGTTTGAAAATCATCACAACTTTTGTATGTGATTATGAGTGCTAACTTCTTAATCAGGAATTATATATAATATGCAAGCTAATAAACTAGGATAAATATGTAAAAATTAATTTACCGAAGTAATTCATATTACTAAACGACTTGAGGCAGCACATCTTAATTTGAGAATGGAGTTGGTGGTTCTAATAAGTTGTGGGGTCACCTTTAGCATTAATGACAGCTCGAATTCTGTTACCTAACACTTGCTTCTTACAAGACAGAAACAAATGTAGTGAGGTTTGTCGGTGTTACCTTGTGTCCCTAAAATAGTGTTCTAAAAAATCAAGGCCTTTGCTGTTCAGTTGAGCTGGACAAATCAACTTTTGAACTTATGTATCTCAAATCACTCTTAAATACGCATGCGCACCAATAAATCGGTGGTAAGTTTGAGGGCATATATCACTCCAAACGGGTTTTAATACCCATGGTGGGCACAGCACAGATTGCCCATTGTGTAGCTTTGTGCTAAACTACAAACAAATAGGCAAGCACATATGCGGTATGGCATGGTGTATTATCATGGTGAAAAAAGCATGATACTTCCCATAGAATTTTATTAATTCATTCAGTGTAGGATTGTCTGAGTCCCCCGGTGGGGCAGCGGTAAATCTTCGGATTCACAACGCTAAAATCAGAAGTTCGATTCCCCTCAGTGGACACAACAGATAGTCCGATGTGGCCTCACT